GATTGGCTGTTTCCCCAAGTACCTGTCAATAATATTTCAACTCGAAGAGATAAATAGTATCAGCATAGTCAGTGAATCTTAACTTGTTGCAAACTTGTCCTAGTCGCGTGTGGTCGCAAACTTGTAATTTGCGTGTTAGCTTTATTGTATCACAAGTACGTCATAACAATCCCGGATGTTTGGTAGCCCAATTGGGCTACTGAATTTGCGGCTGATCTGCACTGGCTCGGAAGATGAATTCTGATTGGCTAAAAAAACAAAAAAACTTGTGGCGTTGAATGCACGTTCATTGTCAGTATTGTTATGCAAATTCAAACTAGCTAATCATTTACAACCTTCCGAGCCAGTGCAGATTAGCCCCGAATTTGAAAAGTGGTAGCCCCATAAAAGAAACTGGTAGTCTGTGGACGCGAGGCTACCGCTAATTTCGAGCCCTGATAATATCATGTATGATGTATGTGTGAAGTTTGATTGAGATTGGTCCAGGCATTTCAAAGATACAGGTCCGGACGCATGCACGGAATCCAAGCAGGGACTAACAAGTACTTGACCATATTGAGAGATATTGCGCTGGAACAGCAATATTTAAAACAAAATGGCCACCAGTCAGCCATTTTAAATACATCTGCATATCTATTACATGATGTAAAAAGCCAGACTTTTATTATCCCTTGTTTCGCAAACCCGCCGAATGAACAGAAGCCGAAAATGAAATAAAAATAAAATTTTATTTCAGCGTAATTTTATTTATTTTTCGCCCTCCTCAAAAAAAATTACTTAAAAAACTCGAGAAACAAGGAATAAAAATGGCCTAATGAATATATAAAATCTGAATATAATCAGTCAAAGCATGTCGGATATATGGCACTAAAACCACATTGATTAAAACAAAATGGCCACCATTCGTCTATTTTGAATCCGATCTGAAGAACAAAATGACGTGCATCAAGGTCCCATAATGTCCAATGTCTGTAACAAGTTTGAGCAAAATCCATCTGTAAACAGTCAAGATCCAATTCCAGAAGGCCAGAAATGCTTTATTTTAGTACAAAAGTGGCCTCTATTTGGTCATCTTGAATCAGATCGTGAACACATTGATGTGCATATGTACAATATTATGAAATAATAATAATATTAATAATGCTTTTATTGAAATCATACCCTGTTTAGCATCTAGATTTTAAAATATATTAAAGTTTTAGATAAATTCAAAATGGCAAAAAGAAAAAATACAAAATGAAAGCATAATAAACAAGTAGCCTGTCGGCTGAGATAGCTCCGCTGTTACCAATGCACATTTCAATTAAAGAACAGAAGATATCATTAGAAAATAAACAATATGTAGACTTGCTGTTTTTAACAAGAATTCAAAAATATCGCTTTTCACCAAAAATGACAAAAATAACAAATCTGAAAGAGGTCCACATGTAGTACCTATATAGGTAATATAAAAGCAATCGGACTTGTGGTTTTTAACAAAAAGTCGAAAATATCACTTAACAAAAATTACAAAAATATTCATCAAAATTAGAGAATTGAAGATATCATCATGAAATGAACAAATCTGAGAGAGGACCACATGTAGTACCTATATATGTAATATCAAAGCAATTGGACTTGCAGTTTTTAACAAAAAGTCGAAAATATCATTTTTTACCAAAAATGACAAAAATATTCACCAAAATTAGAGAATTAAAGATATCATCATGAATGGAACAAATTTAAAAGAGGTTTACTAAAGGTACATATACACCAAGTATCAAAACATTCAGGCTTATAGTTTTCAAGAAGAAGTCGAAAAAGTAAAACATTGACACGAACGACAGACGATGACGGACAATCACTCATATGATAAGCTCCGCTTGACAAAGTCGACAGCGGAGCTAAAAAAAAAAAAAAAGAAAAAGAAAAAGAAGAGAACAAGGACTGAGTAGATAACAAAACAGAAAAGGTATGTAATTGGTCCAGGTATGTCTAAGATATAGGTTCGAACACATGCAAACATGGACACACAGATGCACAGACGCACGCACAGATATCAATCCATAAGTCCTCGTTTTCAGACTGCGCCCAAACTGGGACTAATAAAAAATGTGACATGATTAGATAATCAAAGAAATTGTTGAAAAAAGGAAAAAAAACAATAAGTTCAAGAAAAAAACACATGAAAACTAAATTAAAATAAAGAAGTAAAAAAAAAAAATAGTTTCTAAGATGAGAATTTGCAATGAAGTTTCCCAACACACATATATACACAATAACTATCAAAAATCAACACAATGCAATTTTTGGAAGTGAATTACCACAATGTTAAAATATCATCTGCTGATTTTGCTTAAATTTTTTTTTTTTTTTT